CCCCCCCCCCCCCGATGGCCAGGACTCCACAGTCGCTCAGCGAGTGGCATTCACTTGTCCTCCGAGTCCCCAATGGTTTTTAACAGGAGCGGGACTCAGGCAGGTTGTGTTTATCACGTTGTCACGGTTCAGTCGCGTGGGGAGCCCGGTGCCCGCTCACCATCGGTTCCCTCAGCCCTTCGGTCGGCTGGTCTTCACACAGTCCCCTGGGGTGACGGTCACACGGACACACGGGCTTCGGGTGTGGCTTCTCTGTCACCAGGTCAGTGTATGGCAGGGGGTGCCCACCACCCAGAGTCACATCCCCCACCAGCTGTAGGAGGACCCCCTCCGCCCTCCACGCCCTGCCCTCTGGCGACCACACGTTAGTGTTTTATAAACAAAAACCGCTGTAAGTTCCCCCGGAAACAGGAGTGACCGCGTCTCCGCCCTCCCAGGGGCCTTGCTTTTCCTTCCAAGGAGCCACCCCATCAGCTGGCCTGGCCGCCTCATTCCTGCAGCCTCTGCTGCCCCCTGCAGGCCAGGCGTGGGCAGCACCCAGCGCGGGGCCCACAGGTCACTGGCTCCTACCGCTCCGCCTCCTAGGGCTTCCTCCCTCCAGGTGGCTGTTTCCCGTGGCTGCCCAGAGAGGCCCTGCCCATGACGCAGCCTCAGAGACCTCACACTGCCCTCTCCCCTCCGCGCTGACTCATGCACTGCTCTCTCCATTTTAGTCCACGCCCATGTCTACGTCAGCATCTACACCGTCACGTCCTGTCCATACCCATATCTATACCCAGACCCACACCCATCTCCATCTCCATCTTCACATCCATATCCATGCCCAGACCCAGACCCATCTCCATCACTATATCTTTATCCCGTATCTGTATCCATATCCACCTCCATCTCCACATCCACACCCATATCTATATCCATCTCCATAACAACACCTACATCCATGTCTATAACTGTATGCCCATGCCCGTATCTGTAATTATAGCTGTATGTATATATGTGTGTGTATATGTGTGTATGTATGTATGTGTGTATGCGTGTATGCGTGTGTGTGTGTGTGTGTCCTCCACGCCTGCACTAGAACAAGCGCCCACCAAGGCCAAGTGTGCTCACCGCGATGCCCAGTGCCCACCACAGTGCCCGGGCGCAGCAGCTCCATGAGCGTCTGTCGGTGGAAGACGGACCTCGTGCTGTCAGACCCGCCTGGGGCCGGGTTGGCCTCTTCCCAGCTCTGCACACGTCCTTGAACTTCAGAGCAACTTCGGGATGGCCCTGCCTGAGGGCGGAACCCGGCCAGGACGAGGGCGGAACCTGCCTCCCCCGCCCCCCGACCCCTTCCTCGCCGCGGCCCAGGGGCCTCACCAAGAGGAACCAGCCCTGCTGGTGCGGCTCCGGGATTTGTAGGGAGAACAGAAAGGAGAGGGAGAGGCAGAGAGACACACCGATGTGAGAGAGAGACACACCGATGTGAGAGACACACCAATGTGAGAGACACACCGATGTGAGAGACACCGATGTGAGAGAGAGACACACCGATGTGAGAGACACACCAATGTGAGAGACACACCGATGTGAGAGACACCGATGTGAGAGACACCGATGTGAGAGACACACCAATGTGAGAGACACACCGATGGGTTGTCTCCCACACGCCCCCGACCAGGGCCGGGAGGTACGTTCCCTTGACCAGGACCGAACCTGGGACTGAACCCGGGACCCTTTGGTCCACAGGCCGATGCTCTACCCACTGAGCCACACCGGGAGGGCTCTGCTTGTCCATTTTGTACCGTAAGCGGCCGCGGGAACAGTATTCACACCTTTGGGGGCCGGAGCCCAGGCGCCTGCAGCTGTGGCAACAGGGCTCTCCCTCCTGGGTCCCGGCCTCCAAGTGCCCACTGCACCCACCCACTGAGCCACACCGGGAGGGCTCTGCTTGTCCATTTTGTACCGTAAGCGGCCGCGGGAACAGTATTCACACCTTTGGGGGCCGGAGCCCAGGCGCCTGCAGCTGTGGCAACAGGGCTCTCCCTCCTGGGTCCCGGCCTCCAAGTGCCCACTGCACGGGTGGGAGGAAGGCTTGGGGAAGGCGGGGGGAATCAAGTCAAGGAAACAAGTGATATGATGAAGAAAGCACTCCTTAGAG